AGGGTCCTAGACTTCCCCCCCTCCTTCAGTGATCTTAGTTTGAAGATTAAGACGCACCTGATTCAGGCCATGGTCTTTTCATGCATCTGAGAGCTGGACAATAAATAAAGACAACCCAAGTGCCCATCAACAAACAAATGGATAGAGAAGCTGTGGTATATTCACACAATGGAATACTACACTGCATTGAAAAATAAGGAACTCATGCAATATTATTCAAAATGGGTGACCCTGGAGGACATTATGCTGAGTGAAATATCTCAGTCACAAAAAGACAAATATTGCATAGTGCCACTGTTGCAGAACGGGACTGACGTCAGGGTTGGGGTAAGACTGAGAAAAACTGGATAAATTCTGTATACTGCATTGAAACTGATAAGGGAGAGAACAGTTTAAAAGCGACATATGATAGGGTATTAGGGTTATCACAAGAGTCCAGAATTAAGGTTGCATAGTGGAGTGTATTCGGGGCCGGGGGTTGTATACCAATGAAGGAATTTTTCTTTTACTTTTCAAAGAGAGGAGTGAACTGGTAGGGAGGGGTGGGCAGGGAGAAAAGTGTAACAATGAGTGGAAATCCAAAATCTCTGTAAATGTTCATTAAAATTAATAAAATAAAATTTAAAAAAAGATGACAGAAGAATTGATGCATTTCTACTGTGATATTGGAGAAGGGTACAGAATTAACTGTCAAAAGAACAAACAGATGTGTCTTGGAGAAAGTGAAACCAGAATGCTCTTTGGAAAAAAGAGGGCGAGGTTTCGTCTCACATAATTTGACAAGTTGCTAGGAAAGGCTATTCCTTATAATAAAAAAAAAGGCTATTCCTTAAAGGGACATCATGCTTGGAAAAGTAAAGTGTCAGTGACAGAGGGGATGATCTCCAATGAGGGACCAACACAGTGACTGCAGCCACGGGCTCAGGTGCATCAGAGCATCAGAGTGCCCAAGGGCAGCGCTCAGATGTGCTGCTCACAGGGTCGCTCTGAATCATACCCACAACAACAGCATCCTTCAGGGGGGCGCTCTGGCAGGCTAGTGGGCAGGTGAGCAATGTGAAACCAACAGCTGCTCCTCAGGAGAAAGGTGGGCAATCTCTATCAGTGCAATTTACAGCCTCTGAAATCCCCTCGGCAGGTCAGCTATGGGTTGATTCCGACTAGACGGCAATGACTTTGAGGTTTTCATCCTTCTAGAAGCAGAACTGCCCTCTTCAGTCCCAAGCTCCCCCACTCCATCCCTTAGTGGATTACGATCTTGGCACATGAAGATAAACGGAGTAGGCACTGACAGAGGAAGATATAGGGGGAAGATATTAAAGGAATCACGTCTTTGTGAATAAATGTTTGCAACATATTCTATTTCTAACAGGCTCATATTATCCCCCACCCCCAACTAGGCACTGCAGATAAAAAAAACAAACTGGCAAAATAAAATGAACAAATTATTCAAGCCCCAGGGGAACCTAAGCATTCAAATAAGATTTCAAATGACTCTTCTTCCATTAAAACTTTTCCTGCAGTGGAACTGTGTGGAGGGGGCAGCTGAGCGTCTACACAGGCAGTGCTGAGAGCAGGTCCCACACCAACCAGCTCCTCTCCTCCACCCCCAACACCCCCAACACGGCAGCTTGGGGTCAAATAGGAGTTGTACCCCACCCTGAAGGCAGGTGCACAGACACCCCATGGTGGGGAGGGGAGTGTGTGGCTGAGAGTCTGGCCGGAGGCAAGGGAGCAGAACTCCCACAATCCTTTGCAGCCTCTGCACAGACTTCTCAGCAGCTGTTTTCATCCTCTGAAGACATCTGTCACCCAGATATGCCTGAGTACAGGCCGAAGCAACATACACAATAGATCCCAAAAGGGACTTGCCACATGGAGCCCCTGATCCTGCCCTCCAATACTCCTCTCCACGCAGCGAGAGGGATCCACTTAATAATAGAAAGCGGGCAGGAACCAGCTCTTGAGGCTACAATGAATACTTCCTCACACCCACAACACATCCATGTATCTCTTCCAGGGGCTCTGAGGTAGGAAGGGGAGGTGGCCTGCGTCTGTTAGCATCGCAGTCTTGGAGGCCCTGCGGGGCAGTTCTACTCTGTCCTGTAAGGTCAGTATGAGTCAGAATGAACTCAATAGCAGAGCTTTCACCCTGGCTTTCTGAGAGGCCTGCTCCCCATAGGCCCCTCCATCTCCTTCTCTCTCCTCCCTCAGCTCTGATCACTCTGGTCGTCTTCTCCTCACTTCGGGGCTTCTGCACATGCTGTTCTCAAAGCCCACGTCCTTTGACCCAGGTTGTCACACAGCTTCCTTCTGCATCCAGCCGTCACCTCTGCAGAGGCCTTGGCTGCCCAAAGTCTCCAAACCCCATCTGTCGACAGTTCCATCTGTCCACCCAGCTTTATCCTCTTCCTGCTGGTCTGCTCTCTAGTTCACGTCTTCCGGTCCCTCATTAAGGGGGCCCTGGTGGTAATGCAGGCAAAGTACTGAGTGCTCGTTGGAGTCAGCAATCTCTTCCTCTCGGAGGGCGGAGGATGAGGCGGTCTGCTTCTATAAAGATTTACAGCTCTGGAAACCCCTTGGGCGGTTCTACTGTGTCACTACGAATCAGGGCAACTTGACAACCGTGGGTTTGGGTCTGGGGTTTGGACCTTCACAAACTGTAAGCTTCTCAAGGTCAGAGCTCTCGGTGTTTTGCCACTGCTTTGTCCCCTGTGCCCTAACTTGCTGGAGAGACTCAAATGGTGGTTGAATTCACGAAAGCCAGGAATGAAGGGCCTGACTTATTTGGAAAAACTAATTCAAGAAACTATTAGAAATACATATTTACCTATTTAAAAAACACACCAAAAGCAAAATGATAGCATAAAACCAAAGACATGTCCCTGCTGACAACTACAATCATTAAGCTGGAGCTCAAGTCATATCATAGGTAACTATAAGCTAGCAAATGTAGGTCGGTCGAGAGTACCTCGCCAACTTGAGGAAGGAGAAAGGACAGAGAAGGGGATCTGCAGGTTACCATGGATCCAAATGCCAACTCAGTGCCTTCCTGCTGTGTGACTGAGGCAAGTCTCCACCTCTCTGGGCCTCTGATTCTTGTAAAGAGAGGACCCTTTTTCTCTTCAACAGAAAGAACCTGCCTTGAAGAGAAAAGATGCATGTGTAATACTTAGAAAAAATGCTTACTCCACAGGAAGTACTGCATTACCATCATTATTGGGATTATTACGTTATGAAGTCCATACCCAAACCAGAAAACCAAACTCACTTCCCTCGAGTTGGCTCCAACCCACAGTGAGGGTGTAAATTTGGTTTCTGAGGCTGTAAATTGCACTGGAAGGAGACTGCCCATCTTTCTCCCACAAAGCAGCCAGTGGATTTGAACTACTAGCCCTTCAGTTAGCAGCATGACACATTATGCCTGTACCAACAGAGTTTGTTAAGAGAGTTCAGAGGAGAAAATGACAGCGTCTATAGTGAGTCTTGTTTTGGTTGAGGGTAGGGTAGGTATTTTAGAGGAACATTCTTCTAAGTGGTACAGCACTCTTCTGTCAATTTGCTGTACTGAGGTAACCTGGGTTTGCTGTGATACTGAACCACCTTGTGCCACTGGGGTGTCAAATGCCGTAAGAGTTGCCCAAGATGGACAGTGTTTGGTGGAGCTCCAGTTTAAGACAGGTTTGGAAGCAGGAGTGGCGTTCATTTCTTAAATTACATGCCTCTGGAAACTCTGTGAACTTGGAGAAATGACGATAGTTACAGAAAGGCTTCAGGTCTTTTGTTCTTAGGTTCACTATGAGTCGTGCTCATCTCAACAGCAATCAGCAACAACATAGTGAGTTGCACTGCTGACCCAAAGGCTCCATCACTGGCTTTGGGAAGAAAGATCACAATTTCTTTCCCACTATAATTTACAGCATCAGGAATGCAATAGAAGTTCAGAATCAACTCAACAGCACTGAGTTTGAAATTGGGTTGAAAATCAGTTTAGTGCAGCACCTATCTCCCCTCTACCCACTAATTTAATGATATCTCATTCAGGAGACATATAACATTGGTGTTATAACTATAACAAAGTGTGCTGTCAGGGACCCCTTCAGAGTCCTGATGAGCAATGATGTCACTTTAAAGACTAAGGTGTGCCTGATGCAAGCCATGGTTTTACCAGTCACCTGCTATGTATCTCAGAGTTGGACAAAAAGAAAGAATGACAGAAGAATAATTTTGTGGTGTTGCAGAAAAGTCCTGAATATCCCATGGAATGCCAAAAGAATAAACAGATGTCTTAGAGAAGGTGCAACCAGAGTGTTCTTTGGAGGTAAGCATGTCAAAGCTTTATCTCATGTACTTGGAGCATGTTGCTAGGACAGGCTATTCCTTGGAGAGGAACATCATGCTTGGGAGGTGGAGGATCAGCAAAGGAGAGGAAGACCCTGAACCAGATGGAATGCCAGTGATTGCCACAATGGGCCCCAGTGTGTCAGGGATGCTAAGGATAAGGGTTCAGATCTGTTATTCATAGGGTCTCTACGAGTCATACTCAACTTGACAGTATCAAACAACAACAACCACAACCATAGACTCAACCCTTTTAAGTGTAACACTCACTAGTTTTACACATAGTCAGAGTTAGGCAGCCATCACCTCTGTCTACATTTAGAAGTCATTCCTCACCTTGCCCCACCCCAGGCAAAGACAGCCTCTAGGTTTCTTCCTTCTCCTCCACCCCACCTCCTGGCAACCACTCACTGGCTGTCAACTGGCATCACTTTACAGATGGAGAGACAGAGGTTCAGAGAGGGTCAGAGGCACAAGTTCAAGGTCACTGAGCAGAGCAGAGCCTCAGAACTCTGGATCCACAAGTTTCCCATCCCACCCCCCACTAGCCCAGAGCCTTCCTGCTCCCCACTGACCCTGGGCACTACGCAGACATATCCCCCTAAACCTCACCTCTCTGCACCCCTGGCCCTATGGCACCTTGCCACCGGGGTACTCACGGAGTCCGATCTTGGCTAAGTGCAACCTGTTGACCCAGGAGATCTTACTGAGGGGGTTAGGGGTGATGAAGACCACCATGAAGCTGATGGGGCGACCAGACCTGTGGAGAGAGGGGTGCAGGCAGGAGCCTTAGTGCCTGGCACAGTGACGTAACTCACCCTGGGCCACTGCTTGACTTTCCTTGACCCAAGTGACAAAGATGGAGGAAGGGCTGGTCAGAGGTCTGGCAAAGGCTTCAATCACCTTTCACCCAGTGTGGCCGCAGGAGGGGAGGCCCCCTTGGTCCACGGCTGGGGCACCAAGCAGAGTGCAGGACCTGGTTTCTATAGGCCTAGATATGAAAGGCCCCTCCAGGGCTCTCCCTGGCCACCTGCCCCACCTCTGAAGATTTCCATAGGCCTTATCAGACAGCTGGATATAAACGTGACCCCTCCCCCCAAGAACGAGCCTCTGGAGGGACAAGCAGGGCTCTCTCTGGCCTGTGCCCAGCATGGGACACACAGCATGGCTTATGAAGCGCTTGCTGGGCAGATGCACAAATGAATGATGAACAAACAGGCTGAGCACAAGTCTGCAGCAGCCGGGAGTCACCGCCTCTCCCACGCTGTCCCTGCACCTTCCAGAAGCAGGGGCCCTTTGGTCTCTGAGGCCTCCTGTGCACTGAGGGCCATCCCAGTGCCCTGAGGGTTGCACAGGAAGAAGAGGGTCCCCTGAGGGGTGCACAGGGAGGAGAGGGTACAGGGAAGACCACTTAGCAGGTGGCAGCAGAGTCAGGGAGAACTCAGTGCTTAAGACCCTGAGCTCCATCCGCCCTGCACCCTGGGCCTGGGGCCCTGCCTCAAGCTAATCAGTCATCTCCCCTTCCTCGCCGCCACTGCACTTGTAACACGTTGACCTCCACCCTTCTCCAACGAGGGGACCGTCAGTTATATTCTGGCCCCCTCCCCATACCAGCTGAGGTGTCAAACTAGCTCTACCCGTCACTAGGAGTCTTTGGAGTTGTTATGTAACTGAGTTTCAACTCATTTCTAAAAGAAGGATGATGATACATGCCTCGCACAGGACAGAGGAGTGTACGTGGTGGGCACTTCCAGGCTCAGTCCAGGCTAGTGCCCCGCCCCCGTACACCCCTCCTCCATCTCAACAGGGCTGCCCAGCTAATTCTGCCATCAGTTCCACAAACCCCGGTTTAGGATTTCCAGTCCACAAACTCTTGGGCTGGCCATTCGGGACTGGGCAGTGCTGGTGGGAGGCTGGGTCCCTAGAGGGCAGACAGAGAACCTGGTCCTGAGGTCTGATGTGAGGGAGCAGGACATGACGCCAAGGTGGCCAACTAGTGCCAGCAGGTTTAGTATCCTGACAGGGGACCCACTGAGGCAGGACCGTTCATTCAACCATCTTCCCATGAACACCTATTATGTGTTAGGCACTGTGCTGAGTGCAATCTCAGTGCTCACACCCGCTCCCACCATGGCAGTCCTGATAAACGGGGTGTCTGTCCCCTAACACCCCCAATCCTCAGCGGCCCAGCCCAGGCAGCAGCCCTCCCCTGCCCAGCCCCCTTCTCTCACTTGTCAGGTTTCCCAGGAAGCAGGAGCCGGAGGCGGCACTTATTGGCCGAGTGGATCTCCTCCTCCTTCACCCGCATGAGCCTCTGCAGGGCCAGGCACCAGTCTTGAGCCACAGTCATGTTCAGATTCTAGGAATAAGGAAGCCAAGAGGTCAACCCAGACCAGCTCTGACAGCACAGCAGCATCCCAGCAGGTAAACTTACACAGCCTGTGCCAGGGACTTGTCACTTAGTCACCGGCAGGAAGCCAACTCTCCATCCCCGGGTTCAAGTCCCCCCAGGTTCTCCTCCTTGGGAGAACAGACTCCACCCCAAAGCCAGTTTCCTCTCCAACTTTGGAGCAGAGGCTATAAGCCCGACTGGCCACTGTGCAGAGGACAAAGGCCCAGCAGCCAGGATTTAGACTTAAAGGCCGCACATCTGACTTCCACCATGGATACAGAACTCTGGCCACTATTGCCTGCAGGAGGTCAGGAGTCAGAGGCACACCAGGGAAAGAGATGAAAGAGAAGCCCCCGGTTCTCTGACCCCAAAGAGAACCTTGGGACCCAACAGGGCCGGGCCAGGCGGCATACCTGGTAGGTGCCATGCAGTGTGCTGATGAGAAGGGTTATCTGCTCGACCACGGCCAGGTCCTTCTGCAGGTCCTGCAGCTCCTGGAAGAGGCGCGGGGGGCCGAGGTATACCTTGTCTGGGCAGAGAAGAGACCCCGCTCAGGCTCAGGATGGGAAGAGGGTGGACCAGAGAACAGGAGGCCACCGACTACAGAGCATGGAAGCTGCTGCCCTGAGGAAATGGCATGGGGATAAGCAGAGGGATGTCATGTGGCTCTCGTCCCAAACAGCTCCTTGTGTAGGTGGGGAGACAGCCATCAGAAGTCTAGCCACTGTGATCCACGCTACAAACTCAGAGGCCACAAGGCAAAAGAATCTAGGTCCTAAAGAATCCTCTGGGGCCAGGAAATAGAAGGAACAGCAAGGTGTACAAAGATGTACCAACAATCTACTATGTGCCAGGTTCTGTGCTAGGTGCCGAAGATACAGCAGGAAGCACGACAGACAGAGATCCTGCTTTAACAGAGCTTATGACCTGAGGTAGAAGCAGCCAGTGAGAGCCCCATCCGGGGGAAGGTGTTGGGCAATGGGATATTATTGAGAGACCAGGAGGGTGCCCAAATCTGTAGGATGGTGAGACTGGGAGAAGAGGAGGGCACAAGGGATGGACAGCAAGATAGAGAAGAGACCAGCAGGCAACTCGGGGCATTCTTGGATGGCACGCTGGGAAATGCGGGCTATATTCTAGCACCCACTCATTCACTCCCTGTTGTCAATTTCAACATGTAGCAACCTTCCATAAGGTTTCTGAGGCTGTAAATTGCAAAGTGAGGAGATGGCCCAATTATCCCTAGAAGTCACTGGTGAATTGGAATCACCGGAGACAAACAGTCTTTGGGGTTCACAACGCAACTGCCTGTGGGGCTACACCAGCAGAGTGTCCTCCACACTCTACATGCCAGGGCTTCTCAAGCTGAGGTCTTACGGAATCTCCTGGAGGCAGGTGGTCACTCTGCGTTTTCATTCAGATTATTATCTAAAAAATCAGAAGGCACAGCCTGAGACACTTTTTAAAGCCACATTCTGCTCCCTGGTGGCAGTTTCCACAGACGTTTGTTCTGAGCAAGGCTACTTTCAGGGCCACCAGGTCAGGAGCAATGAGCAGAGGTGGTCTCGGGAGATAAACAGTGCTCACAGCCAATCAGGAATGAGGAAAGGCTTTGTAGGAATTCAAATGGAGTGAGCTGGCAAGAAATGGGAGTCCCCCTAAATCATCCTGTGCAAAAGGCCCAGGAAATACACAAGAACCTTGTCTTAGCCGTACCATGCCCATATCGCCAGCAATTTGGCAATAACAAAACAACATCACCCATCACATTAAATTAATGTTGTTCATCTGAATTTTATTGTTTTGCAGCTTTATTTTTACTCAATTTGTGACTCTGCCTTGCCTTTATGGTTGTTGAACGGCTATTAGCATACGGAGTTTATGAGAGCTAGTTTTCTATTTCTACATAGTTGAGTAACAATATCATAAAAATCATGGGAGGCCAACTAGGGTTCAAGAATCCTCTTCCCCTTTAAGGGTAAGGGGCTCAGCTGTACTTGGTGCAAGTCTGAAGAGCTCACGTACAGCCAGCACAGTCATGGAAGGAGGGGGTCCCAGAGCACCAGCCCGCAGGAGTGGAGAGGGAGAGCGGGATCTCACGAGGCTGAGACTCTGAGGGAGGCAGGGGCAGGGCTGCCCTTTTCAAGGAGGTTCCTGTGAACAGCAGGTCAGGTCTGCAAGCCAGCCCTTCCTGCCCACAGATCTGGGAAAGAAACGCAGCATCCCGGAAGTGGGCACAGCTGCACTGCCCAGCTCCCCAAGGAAAGGGGGTGGTGCAATCATTCTCAGATCTTCCAGAATTGCAGGCACTCCGGGGGGGGGGGGGCAACCTCCAAAGTCAGGCAGTGGACGAAGCCTGGCTGGTGGGGAGGAGGAAGTGAAACCCAAATGTGCTCCTGCCTGTGGAAGGTGCTCCAGGCATTGTAGGCATTCATTCACCCAGCATCCTTCATTCATTCAGCAGACGCTCAGTAAAGCCCTCAGCCGTCGGCTCCAGGCAAGGGCTGCAGTCAGGCCAGCATGGCTGGGAGCCAGCTGGCTGAGAAAAGGTCCGAGACTTCACCAAGCAATGGGAAGGCTAGAGTGGATGTCAAGGCTGAGAGCGACACACACAGAACGGATCTGTGTTCTGAAGTCTGTATTTTGAGACTGGATGGAGGGGTGAACCAGAGGGGACAAGGATGAAATGGGGAGAAGCAGTCAGGAGGGGCTGGGAGCAGTGGGCACCCTGGGAAGTCCATAGGCAGGGAGATGGTTGGTGCTGAGCAGCCCCTGAACTCAGGGTACTGGCAGGGCAGAGCACAGAGGGTGCCGGCAGAGTACCTGGCATCCCTGAGCCTGGTGCCTGGGGCAGGGGGCAAGGAAAGTGTTACCTAGATACCTCCCCATACAGGGAAGGGAAGTGAGAAGAGAGGGGACACGTGGGCCAGAAGCACAGGAAGGCAAGGCAGGCAGGAATTGGAAGGTACTCGTTTGACCCAGAGTTCCTGTGTGTATAATATGTGTGTGTTTGTTCGTGCATGCCCATTTGTGCCCATGTGTGTGTATGTGTGCCTGCATGTGTGTGCATGAGTATCACATTCTGTGTGTAGGGAGGGGTGTGAGCAGGACAGGATATATGTGCACTTGTTGAGTGGGTGAACAGTGGGTGCATATTGCTGTGATGTGGGGCTGTAAAATCCAGAGCCTCTTTGCCCAGTTACCCTTCAGCCTGGGGTCCCTGAGACAAGTGGAGCCCATATGGCCTGGCAAGAAGCCCCCTCGGCCAGGGCAAGGTGGGCAGGGTTGCAGGGAACACAGTACTCACTCTGGGATTGGCTTGCAGGAGGGGTCTTCCTGGCACCAGCGTGCTGGATAAGCACATTGTCCTTGTCGTAGGCACCGCCCTCCTGGCCCACCTCCACCACCTGCACCTGGGGTAGCGCCGTGTTCCACTTCACCACGTACTTGGGCCCCAGGGGCACCAGGCTGCTGATCTCCAGCTGGCCCCTGCCAAGGACAAAGAGGATGAGGCCCTGGAGAGCTGGCACCACACTGGCCACAGGGTCAGCCCAGGCACACCAGTTCAGCCAGGCACGCGGAGCCCAAGCAGTGGGCACAGGCCCACACCAGGGCGGGCAGCACAGGGGGCCATCATGGAGGCAGAAGCACCAGGGGGCAAAGGCTCAGCCCCAGATCCAGAAAGAACCCATGCACCTTTGGGCCCCAACACCACACACCACCTACCTGTGGTTGGCAGGCCTGAGGAAAGACAAGAGGAAGGGACCTGGTTACTGTTACTGTGTGCTTTTGATGGGAGCTGAGACCCACAGGGACCAGGGTTGAATGGCAGAGGGACAAGCTCAGAAGGAGGAACCATGGCAACAGAGGCCAGGACGGGGGGACCACACAGGGGCTTCTCCCAGGGCTGGACCTGGCTTCCCGTCAGCCCTGCTAAGAAGTCTGTAGTATTCTAGATGAAGGCATTGGTGCTCAGTTTAAGTGACAAGTCCCAAATCACTTGAACCAGTTCCCAAACCGGGCCGCTTACACCCATATCACGCTTTTCATTCCTGGCAGACCCAGAGCAAAAGGGCAACAGAGAGGGTGATGGGAAAGCCGCCGAACTTCACAGTTCTGCGTTCATGAGTAGACATGACATTACAGTGCATGCATGAATGAGTCAGCCATGCACACTGCTCCCTGGCCTCTGGGACACAGGTCTCTCTTGGGGGGGCGGAATCCTGCCAAGCTCCTAGAGACAGGGCTGGGTCTTGTTCAGAGCTAGGAACTACTGGCTGGCACATAGTAAGAGCTCAGTGAACACCAGGATTCACAGAGGATGAGGGTGAAGGAACAGTGAATACGTGTCTCTGCACAGGTCTGTACCACGTGACCTAGGTCTCAGAGAAGCCCCAGACCTGCTGCTCCTGGAGCAGAGCTGCCCCCTGGGCAGCCTCCACGTCCCGGGGTGCTCCAGCTGGGAGGGGAGAGCCAGGCTGGGACCAGCAGCTGATGACAGAAGACTGCTCGCCCTCTTGATCTCAATTACTGCTGCACGTTGTTGTTTACGTGCTATTTTTCTAGTGTTGTCAAACAGCGAGCGGAGATTCTCCTCCACACCGGTGGATAAGAGCCCCGGCTGGGAAGGTCACAGCTGGAGTTCGCGGGAAGCATTTGGTAAAGGGCTGCACTGCCAGATGCTTACAGGGCCAGAGAGTAAGCGAATGGGGTCAGATGGGCCCAGGGAAGGACAGCATAGACCTGGCCCTGACAGAATGACCACACTACTCAACTCCAGGCCCTCATGGCCCTAGCGATGTGGGCCCAACTTGCTGTTGCTGTACATGCCATTGGACTAATGGCCAGATCATGTGCAGATAGGAAGCTGCCTAGGGCTTCCTTGGTTGTAACCTTTATGGGGGCAGACCATCATGACTTTCTCCTATGGAGGTGCTGGGGGAGTTGAACCATTGACCACTGAGTTAGCAGCCAGACACTTAACCATTATGCTGGCAGGGGCCTTCCAGTCTGCCGTGTGCTTCAAATTCTCAAAAGGAAATTCAATGTCTCAGCTTGTGTGATGAGGGAAGGACATCATGCTTGGGAGGGTGGAGGGATGGCGCAGGAGGGGAAGGACCTCAATGAGGTGAACTGATTCAGTGACTGGGGTAATCGGGATGGGTATGTTGGAGACCGTGTGATTGGCACAGGATAGAGTAGGTTTAGGGCTGTTGTACACAGGGTTGCTATGAGCCTCAGGCAACTCGACGGCACTTAACAACAACAACAACAGCTTGTGTGTGAACTCTGGGTGAGCCAAACAATGACCCATGCAGGCCTAGGTCAACTTGTCTATGCTCATCTACTAATCAAAAGGTTAGCAGTTCAAATCCACTCAGCCACTCCACCCAAAAAAGACCTGGTGACCTGCTCCTTAAAGATTACAGCCAAGAAAATCCTTCCGGGGCAGTTCCACTCTGTAATACTTGCTGTTGTTGCTGTGTACCTTCTAGTAGGAAGTGACCCAACAGCTGACCTGCCAGTGGGTTTTCAGGGACAGCAAATCACATAAGAAGAGATTGCTCAGCTTTTCTCCTGCAGAGCAGGTGCTGGATTCAAACCGTGTACCTTTTCATTAGCAGTGCAATTCCTTACCACTAAGCCACCAGGGAGCTCTGGTGGCCTAGTGGCAAGAAGCTATGCTACTCATATGATTGCACAACTTGATGTGTGTTAAAGTGAAGGAAATGGGCAAGACCTTGTACTAAAAACAATGTACTCGAACTTTGTAAATAAATCAGTAAAAATAAAATAAAGAATAAAAAAAAAAGACAAAGAAAAAAAAAAGCTGTGCTGTAATCACAAAGGCACGCGGTTTGAGGCCACCAGCGGCTCTGAGGGAGAAGGGTGGGCAATCTCCTCCCATGTGATTAACTGTCTCTGAAAACCTGCTGGAGGGTCAGCTATGGGTTGGTTCTGACTCTACGCTATTCAGTAACAACAAGAAACCACCAGAGTCCCCCTTGTCATACCTGTTAAGTGCCGTCGAGGCGAGTACCACTCATAATGACCCTGTGAACAACAGACTTGAATCCTGTGCTCCCCAGTGCCACCCTCCTCATCTCTGACACACTCAAGCCCACCGCTGCAGTCGCCCTGTCAATCCATCTTGTCGAGGGGCTTCCTCTCTTTCGCTACCTTTCCAAGCATGACACTTAGGTCGTCACAAACTGGAATGAACTTAACAGCAACAGGTCTGGGTGTTTTTCGAATGGAACCAATGTGCTACCAGTTTATAGCCTCTGGCCCAAGAATTACCCTCGCTGCCCCCGTACGGTGCACACTCTCTCCTGCACAGGCTGGTGCCCGACCCTGAGCCCAGGAAGCCCAGGCTCACTCACTTGTAGTTGATGTTGGCACAGACCAGCATGTCATTGAGCAGGAAGACCCGGCGCTCCTTGGACTTGATCAGCTGCCCACGGTCCCCGTACACAGTCTCCGTCAGCGTCTCACACAGGAGCAGCTGCCGCTGGCCCGACGTCAACAGCTGGGGAAAGGAGGGCAGGGCTAAGTCAGCGCGGGTTTTCCGGCCCCTTTCACTGTGCCGAAGACCCAGGACTCTTGCACTGCACGGAAAGGGGGACAGAGATTGGCAGAGGTGGGGACGGTGACATGCTGCACTGAGGAAAAGACCAGAGGACCCTGCCAAGTTCTCGGTCCCTTGGAGACTCCCAGGAGTCTGACAACCCCTCTCTTCTCAAGCCGACCTCAGCAGCCAGCACCCCTTTGCAGGGGAGCCTGTCATGACCAGGTGGCTGCCTATACAACCGCACATGGCCAGCACTGCCACTGTCCCAGGCCACAGCCGTGCTCCACCGCTCACCAGCTGGGAATAACAGAACACCAGACCTGCTAAACGGACCACGCTACTTGGCTCCAGGCCCTCGCAGTCCTGGCAAAGTGGGTCTCACTCGATGTTGTTAGGGGCCATCTACCTGTTGTTAGGTGCCATCTACCGGATTCTGGCTCACGGCAATCTCATGGGCCACAGTAGAAGGCCCTTCACCTCCCCAGGCCTTGGATTCTGAAGCCCCCACCAGTCGGATCATACAAGGTGACTAGCTTGTGACTAGGCCTGGCTGCATGTGTAAAATGAAAATGCAAGGTTCCTTCCTCACAAGGTATGCAGGTGTTCCAAGACAGACGGCAGAGCACTGAACCAAACATCAGCTCCCCTGAACACAAAGCCCTGTGTATCTGCACAGGTGACCCCTATGAAGCTTGCCCTGAGGGTGACAGGGGACACTCTGTAGGGAGCCACCTCCATTACTACCGCTGTCACAGTAGTCTCAGGTGACCTTGACGTCATCCCCACCAGGACCCTGACCTGCTGGGCAGTCTTGACCCCTTCTGTTCCTTAGAATAGTCCTGAGGAGGTCAAAACCCTCTAGTCTCAGCACCTAAACCTGGCTTACGGTCTTAGCCTGGACTCCTGGGGCCCAGTCCAGCTCGAGAACCACCTACCCAGGCATGGACTTCCTGAGAAACATCTTTTTCAGGGGTTCTTTTCAGGGGGAATTCTGTAAAATCCATTCCCAAAACCCACGACTCTGATGAGCACTATCCTCCTTCCCTCTACCAATCCTCATCTTCACTACGAAAAGGACAGGTCACCCCCAAGTCTCCTCACCAGGAGAAAGCGCCCTGTTTCCCAAAGAACTACGTATCTTCTAGACTCTGACTGCATCTGGCCACAAGAAGTGCTACACGTACCCAGCCCACACTGGGGATAAAGAAAGTTCCCCAGGCTCCTGGCGGCAACCCCCACCATTATTCCATATTCAGGCAGGAAAAAGAAAACCGGATATTTCACAAATGCGCCTCTGGAGGGGCCTGATGGGCCACATTTTGAAATGACCAGCACGGTTCCGTTTCTGGCTACACCCAGTTTCACTTCCGCTTCTCCCGGGGACACGGAAAAGGGGAATCATTGACCTGGTCTCCCAACTGGCTGAGATCGCCCAGGGACAGCCTGGAGGTGAGGCACAGGGCATAGTCACCACCACACTCTTCACAGCAACCTCTGGCATGTATCCAGCATGTTCCCATTTAACAGATTGAGAAACTGAGCCTCAGGGAGTTGAGTTCCATGCCCAACATCAGACAGCTACTGACTGAACGTGGGCACCCCTGGAATCAGGCCAGTGGCTGCTGAGTGACCAGTGTCCACAAGGAACAGGATGAGAAAAGTTCGCTCTCTGTCCAGAGCAATCGTGACTTGACCATCTCCTCCTAAACCATCACTTCTGGCTACAGCTGCACGGCATCTCCTCACGAGGTATGGAAATGGTCGGCGGCTGGGTCTAGAGCACTGGACCTGGACCAAGAGTCCGTTCTGTGAGGAGTTTTCCTTTTTGCACTGGCCTAGGTTGTAAAAACCGAGGCCCTTCACAGACTCATTTGCAAGTATTTTTTGATTCTTTATTATTTTTAATAAAATAGTAATAATGGGAATGACAAGCATGAAGACCTCTCAGAAGGAAGCTGTTGGGGGTCAGATACTATTAAAATTTTCTTTTCAGAGTTAGGAAATGGAGTTCGGACAGAGAGGGTGACTCACCTGAGGTCACACCGTGAGAACTAGTGGCAAATTGAGATTCAAGCCCAGACCCTGGCCTGAACTCCCGCTCTCTGAACCACAGTACCAGGCTGTCGTTTCTACTGTCCTTACTATTACAGTGATGAACAAAATCAGCTTCTTTGTGAAAATAACGTAAAATAGCAACGAAAGGGGTGGAGGGAGGTCAAGTCTAGAACAAACCCTCAAGGTAAGTCTACCATTGCAATCAGGGAGGCCTCTGGCCCAGAGAACACTGCCACCTAGTGGTGACCACGAGGCTGGCTGGCTTAGTGATGGGAGGGCGGGCGGACAGGGGGGAGAGCGGGCGCGCACCTTGTTGAGGCTGCTGCGGTCGCTGACGCTCTTGGTCAGCTGCTGGATCTCGGCCACCTGGTCAGCCAGCCGCTTCTGCTCATTTAGTTTCTCGGCCAGCGTCTCCAGCTCGGTGAGGGCCAGCTGCAGCGAGAGCCTGTCGGCATGGCCCCTGGGGGTGTTCTTCAGCATGTCCTGCCAGGACCAGGGAGAGATAGAGTTCAAAAACCCCAGCAGAGCCAACCCTGGCCTCCTGTGTGCAGAACATATCTAAAAAGGGCTCCGCTTGCAGCCAGGACAGATGGCAATGAGAAAAAAAAATCTATCCCTGAATAATTGATGGAGGGTGAGAAGGGGATTCAGGCGCCGTGGCAACCATAGTCTGTTATACGCTGTGTTGCTAACTGAAAGGTCATTGGTTCAAATCCACCTGCCACTCCATGGAATAAAAATGAAGCAGTGGATTTGCATTAAGAATTACAGACAGAGTTGATGTTCTAAAAGGAATGCAAGATAAGAAACCGCGCGCATGACAATAGTTTTATAAGGGGAATTGGCAAGGGGGGGGAAGGAGAAAAGTGTACATGAATGAATAAATAATAAACAATTTTTTAAAAAAAAATAATTTCAGCTTTGGAAGCCCAATGGAGGGGTGCCACAAGTTGGAATGGGCTCTAGAACGGTGAGGGTGTGGGGGTGGGGGGGTGGGGGGGTATGTGCACACACATGAATGTGTTTGTGGGCATGTGTATTGGGATTAGAGTCCACCCTGAGACCAAGCAGCTCTGAGGACAGAGGAGAACACTGCTGAGCCTGGGCATGCAGCCACCCTGCCCGGCTCCACGGACGGAGATCACCCTTCTCCTGTGCAGTCTCAGTCAGCAGAGGAGGGCCCAGCTCTCAGGGCCACATGGGGGTGGCAGACACATATCCTGCTCTCATTCTGAAGCTGAAGCCAGAAATGGCCAAGGTAAGCCAATGACTGAGCACCTCTTCCCTGCCAGACTCCCACAGGTCCTTCAGCTCCCACCAATCCTGGGGGGCCCCCACAACCTGGGCGGCAGGGTCAGTGCAAAGCAGGCTATGGGACAAGAGGGGTGTCACTGGAGGGTCGAGGAAAGATGAGGCATAGCAGGTGCAGACGAGGCAGCTTCGTGATTATGAGGCAGTGATAGTACCAGACCCTCCCTCCCACATCACTCAGCCCAGGAGGCATTCCCCCAGCCTGTGCTGCATCTGAGTCCCCAGAATTCCTGGTGGTACCTGGAGCAGGAGGATGAACTGTGGGAACCTCTGGATGGGCTTCACCATCAGTCCGTAGAGAGTGACGCGGTCTGGGCTGCAAATCTGCCGCCTCTGTTGGAGACCAAAACCTGCGGCTGTCAAGTCAGTTCTCTCTCAGGACAATGAGCAGGGCAGGCCACTGCCTGAGGGCTTCTAACATATGACTTTCAGGGCAGATCACCAGGTGTGCTTTCCAAAGAGCTGCTGGTGGGTGTGAACCACCAAGCTTGCGGCTGGTAGTCAAGTGCTTAACTGGCTGTGCTGCTCACAGACTCAGCTGGAGGTAAGCTCTCTACCGAGAGTCCCAAGGTCCAGTCAGCACCACCACCCTGGGGTTCTCTCAGCACCCAGATGTGAAGGAAGAGCTAAGAGAGATTCCTGGGTCATTTTAAGGTCTCTGATCCTGAGGCCTAACCAAGAAATTTATTCAAAAGGTTAGTTTCTAGAAATAACAAAGACAACCATTCCTCCACTTACAGGGAAGCAACTGGGCCCTGGGCAGGGACTGGGAGGGACACAGCACTGGGTGGGACATGGGGGTAATGAGTTCTCAGGAGAAAGCAGTTCTCATTCTCCCGTCTCTTATATCTGGCCCATCACTGCATCCACACACCTGCATGAAAATCATACTCAGCCTCTGCAGCTCCAAGCCACTGCCACTGCTGCCCCACAGACCTCCACTCCCCTCTGCCCCAACTCAGAACTCTCCCATGCTTCCCACCGCCTAAAAGATTCTCGCTGAGCTGCTGTGCCTGGACAGGTCTGGATCATCTAAACTGAGCGCAACACCCTCCTGGGCTTTTCTTCTGTGAAGCCCCCCAGTATCCATCTAGTGTTCACAGACACATGCAGAAATGCCTGCTCCGACCTCCTGCCTCTGACAGCTAAAGCCCCACCAACCTCGCACCTCGAGCCCCATCCACACCTGTTACAATCCCTCCCCTGGGGCCTTGTCGGCCCAGCCCCTCCCGAGCCTCCTCAGTGGGGCCCTGCCCCGAGGACCCTCCACACACTGCGGTGCTTTCCTGGCACCTGGCCCGCCCTACACGCCCTGCTGGGTGGCATGTCCCTACCCCATGACATCTTCATGAATCCGGCATATCCTTCCACACAGAAGATTTTATTCTCACGGAGGATTTTCATCTCTTTCCTCTCCTTTGAAATATATTCTGCATTCTTTGACAGATGGGAAGATGGACCAGCTCAGCAACCCTTGCAGCCTATGCGAAGCCCCTTATTCCTAAGCTCAGTCCACCAGGTTCCAACTCACTGGGGTTACTAACCCATGGAATTACCAAAGAATCGGCAAGATCACAGTTCTTCCTTCTGCGCTGTACGGGATGAGGACCCCAAGCTCCTTATTGACATTTTAACTCTGAATAACCATCATCTTGAGGGCAAGAACAATGATTTTCTTCTTATGGGACAGGGGTTCCCCAAAGCAAAGAAGAGGCAGGTCTCTGGACTACAGCAAGAATGCAGGACCGTAATGCTAGAACCTGAGTCTTGCTCAGTCCTGAGAAGCCTCTCATGGCCACCAGCTACCAGCAGCCAAAGGCCTGGACCGTGCTCGGGACCCTACCTTGAGGAACTCCAGAAAGGCCGGCTTGGTGAGGCAGGCCTTCTTGATGATGGACATGGCGTTGGTGAAGTTGTTCACGTAATCGCTGTACACGTCTAGCACCATGGACTTGGAGAACTGAAACGAAGAGCAGATGCAGCCATGAGAATCACAGCAACGAAAGGGCATGGCCAGCGCTCACCAGGCACTAGGACGGGCCAGGCTGGGATGACCTGACTCTGAGGTGGGTCAAAGTATCCATCTCCCCGAAGGAAGCTAAGTGTTGCTGGTTATAGTGTCCACCCACATACACACCACCACCACCACCACAAATATATGCTGGAGCCCTAACCCCAGGTACGGGCAAACACAATCATGTTTGGAAACAAGGTCTTTGCAGATGTTAATCAGTTCACACGAGGTCACAGAACAGGGTGGGTCTTCAGCTGTGTGATGTTCTTTTAAAAGAGGAGAAAAGACACAGAGAGACAAAAAAAGATGACCGTGTGAAGATACAGGCAGAGACTAGAATGACACATCTGCAGGCCAAGGACTGCCAGGATCCAGCAGACGCAAAGAAGAGGTAAAAGGGGTATCCTTCCTTCAGAGAGAGCAGGGCCTGACCAATAGCTTCACTTCGGACTTCTGGCCTCCAGAATTGAGAGGCAATACATTTCTGTAGTCTCAAACCACCTAGGCTGAGGGGCTTGGTCCTGGCAGCCTGAGAACACATCCATCAGGGCTCAGAAAAACACAGGGATTGCGAGAGGTCACAGGTGGAAAACAGAAGGCTGCAGGGCAACAGGGCCTTCTCCCCCGTGTCTGGGCTGAGGAGGTTTTGCCACCAGGTCCTCTCCCCCAGACTGAGCTCACAGGTTAAGAGAAAAGGAGAGAAGCTGAGAGAGATGGGGTACCGCTCCCTTGGCTACAGTAATTTTCCTCACCACTTCCAGAAAATTAAAAACTCCCCTCACGTTCCCCCCTCAAGGATGGCATTATTGACCCCTCACTGGGGCAGTGCACGCTGAGTTACCAAGGGTGAGTGTGGTTTCCCTGGAATCAACACTCCTTCTCTCGAATCCCTGCACACCTGGCCCAGGACATCAGGTCTATTTCATGGTTAAGCAGAATGTTTGTGTTTACACACACACACACACACACACACACACTCGTAAGCAGCAGCAGCAGACCCCAATGATAAAAAAGACAAAAGAAGAGTTCCACCACTTGACCTTCCTGTGCTTCATGAATCCCTGGAGCCCAGAGATTTCTGTTTGAAAACCACAGGTTCTAGAGAGCTCTGGTGGGGTAGTGGAGATGGAGCTGCACTGCGGACCCAAAGGCAGCAGTTCAAATCTACTAGCTGCACTGCACTTGAAAGATGGGCAATCTCCTCCTATGCAATTTATAGCCTCTGAAAACCCACTAAAGGTTCAATCACAAGTCATTTCACACTTGACAGGAATGAGAGACAGAGAATGTACTTCTCGTTTTCCAGAGAGGCTTTTTATTGTTGCTGCCGTTATGTGCTGTCGAGTTGAGTGTGACTCACAATGACTCTGTGAACCACAGATCTGGACTCTGTCTTCTCCTGAGTGTCCTTATCGTCCCTGAGACACTTAAGCCCACTGTCTTAGTCACTGTTATCAATTCATCTCACGAGGGTCTTCCTCTTCCTCACTGACCGTTCCAGGCATGAAGTCCCTTTCCAAGGAATATCCTCTCCTTACAACATGCCCAAAGTATGGGACACAAAGCTTTGCCATCTCCAAGAGATATCTGTTTGTTCTTTTGGCAGTCCGTGGGATATTGAGTACTCTTCTCCACCACCACAACTCAAAGGCATCGATTCTTATTCTATCATCCTCATCTACTGTCCAGCTCTCTAGATGCATAGGTGGTGACTGGAAAAACCAAGGCTTGACTTGGGCATACCTTAGTCTTTAAGCTGACATCATTACTCTTCAGGACTCTGGAGAGGTCCTTGACCATAACTTTCCCAACGTAATTCTCTGATCTCCTGACTGCTGGTCCCAAGGATATTGACTGTTTAGCCAAGAAAAAGTGTCATGGACCTACTCAATGTTGCAATACTCCCCAAAAGGATAAGACATTCACTAATAGTTATAATGAATGTTTATACATCAAATAATAGAGCTCTGAAATACATAAACCTAACTCTAACAGATTGAAAGAGAAACAGACATTAAGACCGGGAGGCCGCTTTGATGATGGACAAAACTAGAAAGAAATGCAACCAGCTTGAGCTTGGACATATATAAAACACACCACCAACAGCAGCACAGCCCACAGTCTTCTCCCATGCACAGGCAACACCCTCAAGAACAGACCATATCTTGGTCTTCAAGAATTCAAAACCATTGAAATGAATTTGAACTTCAATCAATTAAAAAAACACTGAAATAATGCAAAGCATCTTCTCTGATTATATGCTAGAAAATAATAAGAGAAAGAAAAAGGAAAAAACTGAATCCATGGAAAATGAACAGCACCTTACTTAAAAACTAATAGAATAAAATTGAAAATAAAATTTTAAAACTTCCTAGAATCAAATGAGAAAGTAAACACAACACACCAAGATCTCTGGGACACAGCAACAGCAATGCTCAGAGAAAAATCTGTACTTAATAAATGCACATATCAAAAAAGAAGAGTCAAAATGAACAGCTTAATCCTACAACCGAACATAGCAGGAGGAGGCAACTCTGGTGGCCTAGTGGTTAGTAGCTGGGCTGCAATCCTGAAGACACACAGTTCGAACGCACCAGTTGCTGCATGAGAGAAAGATGGGCAATCTCCTCCTGCGTAATTTAACCGCCTCTGAAAACCCACTGGAGGGTCAGCTCTGGGTCAATTCCAACTCAGTGATTCATAACAACTGAACAGGGATAAAGAGTCAAAGACATTCACAATTATTAGGAAAAAATGAAATAATAAATATTAGAGCAGAAATAAATGAACTAAGAAACAGAAAAAACCGTAATAGCTTTAATAAGACTAGAAGTTGGCTCTTTGAGAGGATCAATAAAATTGACAAAGGAAAAATCAGATGATGAAAATCATCAAAATAAGAAATGAGATGAGAGAGTACAACAGAACTAACTGAAATAAAAAGAAAATGTGTAGAAAATTAACCCAGATGCGTATTACCCATTGAGCACAAAAACTAACTCAAAATGATTCAGGGCCCTACAATCTAAGTGTTAAAGCAAAAACAGTAAAGTATCTGGAATGAAACTTTAGATCAAACCTAGAGAGCCAAAACTGCAGCAAAAACAGGCAAACGAAAGGTGCAAATCAAACCGACAACAAGATACCATCTCACTCCAGTAGCAGTGGCAAAGTTTAACAGGACAGCAAGTATTAAATGTTGGAGAGGATGTGGTGAGACAGAAACTCTAATACATTGTTGATGGTATTGTAAAATGGTATAACCACTCTGGAAGTCAGTTTGGCGCTTCCTCAAAAAGCTGAACATAGAGCTATTCCACTGCTTGGAATATTCTCCAAGAAAATGAGAACTGAGGCTCAAATGGAGACTTGTAAACCAACGTTCATAGTAGCGTTATTCACCATCGTAGCAAGAACATGGAAACAGCCCTGATGTCCAACCACAACTGAATGGATTGAGAAATTATGGTACATTCACAGACAGGAGCAATGATTTTGTAAATTACTACCTAATTTGGGTGGGGCTGGAGAACATTATGATAAATGAACTAACTCAGTCTCATAAGAACAAATATCATATAAGACCATTACTGTAGACTGTGCAGAACAGAAGGCTGAGGATGGGTGGGATGGGGGAGGATGGGAGTGGAGGCGTTAATCACAATATCACATGATTTGATGGGAGGCGGAGAGAAGAAAATGGGAACGATCCAGTGTGAAAAACAATGTGTACTAACTTTGTAAATAAACCAGTATAAATAAAAAATGCTTTTAAAAAAATGCTTGAATGCCAGAAGAGCAATCAGAAAACTGAGGCTTAAAAAAAATAGATATTTATATTTATATCTCTATCTATCTATATCTATATACTTATCTAAAGGCTAGGAGGGAAAAAATCTTTGGCAATGACATCAGACAACGGTTTAACCTCTAAAGTATACAGGAAACTCCAACAATTCAACAGTAAAAGAAACAAAAATAATTTATCCAAAACAATGAGCAAAGAACATGAAGGGATACTGAGGACATTCAGAATACCAACAAATACATTAAAAGATGCTTATGATTATTAGTTATTACAGAGGAGCAAATAAAGACCACAATGCAAAAATGACTTTATAATAAAACAGAAAACCATTACCATGCTGTTGTAGGGGATGAGAACTCCTTGCTAGTGGCATTATAAAATTGGCACAGTCTCTATAGCCAGGAGAAGATAAAATAGATGAATGGGACCTTCTAAGAATCAAATCCCTATGCACATCCAGAAACTTCTCCAACAGGGTAAAAAGGGAAGGCACAGACAGGGAAAAAGTATTTGGTAATGACATGTCAGATAAGGAACTTATATCTAGAATTTATAAAATACTTGAGCACCACAACAAGATAAAGGTAAAGAATCCAATTGAAAAATGGTCACAGGATATGAACAGACATTTCACCAAAGAAGACATTCAGAAGGCCAACAAGCACATGAAAAAATGTTCAAAATCCCTAGCTCTAAGAGAGATGCAAATCAAAACAACTATGAGATATCATCTCACCCCAGTCAGAATAGCAAAATTTAACAGAACAGCAAGCAACAAATGCTGGTGAGGTTGTGGAGAAACTGGAACCCTTATTCACTATTGGTGGGAGGGTAAAATGGTACAACCACTGTGGAAAATGCTGTGGTGCTTTCTCAATAAACTGCAAATAGAGATACCATTTGACCCAGCAATTCCACTACTGGAAATATACCCTAAAGAGACCATAACTGACATCCAAGCAGATATATGCACACCCATGTTCATCATGGCTTTGTTCACAATAGCAAGGAGTTGGAAATAACCCAAGTGCCCATCAACAAACGAATGGATAGAGAAGCTGTGGTATATTCACACAATGGAATACTAAGCTGCATTGAAAAACAAGGAACTTGTGCAATATTATTCAAAATGGGTGAC